GCGGGGGGGAGAAGCGGCGGCGGCGGCGGCGGCCGCGGCGGCTGCAGCCCCGGGGAGGGGGCCGGAGTCGCCTGTCACCATTTCCAGGGCTGGGGCCGCCGGAGAGTTGGTCTCTCCCCTCCTACTGCCTCCAACACGGCGGCGGCGGCGGCGGCACGTCCAGGGACCCGGGCCGGCTCTAAACCTCCCCTCCGCCGCCGCCGCACCCCCCCCGGCCCGGGCTCCGGAGGCCGCCGGCGGAGGCAGCCGTCCCGAGGATCACCCGTCGTCTCCCCGTCCCGCGGCCGCCGCGGCCAGGCCTCTGGCTGCTGAGGAGAAGCAGGCCCCGTCGCTGCAACCATCCAGCAGCCGCCGCAGCAGCCATTACCCGGCTGCGGTCCAGAGCCAGGCGGCGGCAGAGCGAGGGGCATCCGCCACCGCCAAGTCCAGAGCCATTTCCATCCTGCAGAAGAAGCCCCGCCACCAGCCGCTTCTGCCATCTCTCTCCTCCTTTTTCTTCAGCCACAGGCTCCCAGACATGACAGCCATCATCAAAGAGATCGTTAGCAGAAACAAAAGGAGATATCAGGAGGATGGATTCGACTTAGACTTGACCTGTATCCATTTCTGCGGCCGCCCCCCTCTCTGCCTTTCTGTCACTGTCTCTTAGAACGTGGGAGCAGACGGAGGCGAAAAATTCCCGTGGTTTGGGGGACCGTGGCCGCTAACCCGGCTCGCGTTTCTCGATCGTGCGTGTGTCGGGTGCCTCCTTTGAATGCGTTCAGCCTAGGGTGTGTTCGGCGCCGTGGAACTCTCTGCCTGGTTGCAAGTGTCAGGGCACCAGATTGGTTTTCTCGGTCTGTCCACGGGGGTCTCTTCTTAAGGGCTATTGTCCGTTAATACGGACTCCAGTGCACGGTTAGTGGATTAGTGAGCTCGGTAATCCGGTCTGCTAAATGAACAGAAAAGTAGACGCTTTGAGGTTGAGCATATTTCGATTAAATCTTGGCTTTAGGCCCTAGATCAAGGGTATAGATTAGATTAAAATGAAAATTAGTGTTTCACGTATGCATATTGCATCAGAATGTTGCACTGATTGTTTCTAGTTTCCTGGGTTGCATTGATAGACTTTTTTTTTCTTTTTCTTTCTTTCTTTCTTTCTTTCTTTTTTTTTTTTTGATGTGAGTTGTGAACTGATTTGCATAACTTTGGAAGCAGAATCCTTTTCGGCATATATGGTGTTCATTTGAGGGCCAAAGTGGGCTTGCATATTTAAACTAAGTCAATGACAACTTTGAAACGGCATTTCGAAGTTTTGTAGCTTCCCATCAGTCGTGGCATTCGTAATCTGCCTCCTTAAGGCGTTCTTGCTGGATCTTTGTTAAATTTGCCTTTTTTTGCCTCCGCTGGTGGGGTCGTGTAGGATGGGGCACGAAATTTGCAGTTCAGTAGCACTTTATATCCAGCGGTCTTGTCGCACGAAATGGAATGGAGAGGGAGTGCTTTTTGATCCCGGATGATGATGTGCAGCGTCTAGGCTGTTGCAGGGGTTCAAGTTCAGCTCTTACTTGGAATTGAAGGGTTCCTGTGAGGCCAGAATTTCAGGGTCGGGTCCTCTGACACGTCTGGGTATCCGTGAATGTGACTCTGACTTGTGTAACCTGTCAAGTGTAACTTACCAGCTAATCACCAGAAATGCTGGCAAGGGTGGATCACTCCGGCTTCAGACTGTGTAGGTCTGTTAGCGGTTTCTCACACACTGTATTAAATTTACTGACTCAGGTTGTTGAGTATTCAAGACAGAAACCTGAGAATTTTAACAGAGTATCGTTTTGGTTGTCTAGGCCTTTGTACCTCAAAAGATAGTGGTTATCGAAAGGCATTAATCTTGGCAGTTTCAGGTGTAATAAGCTGGTTTTGATCAAGGGTGGGGATGGAACCCTCTTTTTTTTTTTTTTTTTTTTTTTTTTTTTTTTCTTTTTTCTTTTTTTTTTTTTTTTCAGAATGGAAAGGATCGCAGACATTGCGAGTTCCTGGTAGGTGAGAGGCACGAAAAACTATTCAGTTACTGGTCCGAGGTGACTGAAGCATCTGGTGAAGGCCTCCCTTAAGACCAGAATTTTGGTGATGTGAGTTATAAGTGTGGGCATTACTTAGTGAAGGTTATGTAATTGCATGAGCTCTAACAGAGCATTCTTGATTAAAAAAAAAATCATTTCTTGGCAAATACCAGTAAACCTTTTGCTTAAAGGTAGAGTGGTGCTGGAGTGTCTGTACGTCCTGCTAAAAATCGTGGGGAAGATGTGTCTTTTGAAGACAAGAACGTGTTCTCTATCTGAAGAGGTTTTATTCCTTTGGATTATGTAGCTGTGCACATAAGTGTGCACAGCTAATTTTGCCCGAGTGTTTGTTTTGAGATGAAGAGAAAAGTTACTGAAGAAGGAGCTTTGTAGCACACAAAACGTAAGTTTTCTGTTAAGTTAAAAAATAATATTTTAAGGGAACATTTAGAAGTTTTGGAGCCTGCATTAATTGGAAAACTAGGAAGACTGAACTTGACCCGCTTGCCTAGAAGATAATTAGTTACGGAAACCCTTCTCTGATTTGTAATTTATTTCAAAAGCAGCCTACTGTTGGCAGGAATTGACAGTCATCTGGATGTATAGGAACAAATTAATTAAATGCTTATTTAACTTTTTAGGAAAAGTCCTCATGTAAGAAAATGTCTAGAATGCTGTTTGGTAGATTGCTTTTATGATTTAGAGTACGTTTATACTATTTTTACTTCACCCATTTGCTTTCAGGTTGTCAGGGTTTGAAGATTAAAATTACTCTGCCAGGTTCTTACATGTGAGTAGTGAGATGATTGGCCACTTCTTTGACTTCAGATGTTTGCCTCTGTACGTGACACTTACGTGACTTAGAACTTTCTCTAAAACTGTGCTTTTCGTTATGGGATGCATAGAAAGCAGTGTCAAATACTGCATCAAATGACTAATAACACTTAATTTCTAGAGTTGTGGTTTTATTGAGCCAAATATTGATACGGAAAAAAAAAATCACTTAGGAAAAAGATCAGTGAAGGGCTCGCTTTTTTGGTAGTCGCACTTCCAAAAATTTTGATGCACCAAAGCACTTTGCTTTGCTTGGTTTCACTTTAGTGTTCTGTGTTTATTGGGGGGTGGGGGGGTGGGCGGGGAATTAAAATGGCCATTG